AAAAAAAAATAAAATTTGTAAAGACTGAAGAGAAATCTATCGAAAACATTCCTGAAAAAATTTTCTAAATACAATAGGTAATTAGTTATATGGATCCGAAAAAATGGCCGTTTGACCAAAATGTCAAAATTCTAGACCCTCCAACTCGGAGTGTGTTTGACCGATCCCATTGAAATTTTGTGTCATAACTACTATTTTTTAGGACTAACCTTGGTGCAAATTTCATCCCGATCGGAAGACATAGATTTCAAAAGTTGGGTTACTTGAGGTGAAATGCCCCATATACTTATTTAAAATATAATCAAACAAAAATTTCCCTCTTCACTTTCCCATTAACTATTCACAATAGAGCAGTTTTTTCACTTAACGACACTACCCTTCAGGCCGCGAATTTTTTAACCGACCTCGCTGAACTAGGATAAATAGCCGAGTTTGTGTTGTTGCTTTGCATGTATTTCGTTATTTAAGCGAGTGTTCATTTGCAGCTCGGTTGCTATCAGCCAAATCGGCCTATAAATAAGTTAGATATAGGATTTTTATTTTTTCCCCGGTAGACTTTTCGCTGGAAACGCCCATACGTATATGCTCATGATTATCGATTGTAATTGTTTTTGAGTGACAAGCGAAAATTATAACGCTTATATATCATGAAATTATACAATACAAAGAATGCAACTCATATATACATATTTGACACGCTAATAAAGAATTGCGAATCAATCTTTCAACCCTCTTATTCGAAAAAACTGAGTCGACAAGTGTTAGGAGTCTCAACCGAGTTGGTTACGGTCACCATTATTTTTTGTTTCTTGTTGTTGATTTCGGCAAAACTAATTTCGTTTGATTTGTTTAAAGTCCCACTACAACAATTGGTGCTTTTAACATACATCTACATATAATAACAATGTGTGGTGTGGTATGAATTTACACACTATACTTGTCAAGTTCTATTGACTTTTAAAATGAGGGTGTACGTTGCTCATATATGTAAGTGTACACAAAAGCGTTCATGAACTTCGAGTTAGGAGTATATTTACTATATATGTATATACTCCAAAGATATAAATACTGAAAATTCGCTTCAGATAATATGCCCTTTAAAATACAGGCTGTCTTCCAAAGCGTATCAATACAATGTTGGGATACTGTTATACTGCGGTATTCAGACTGTTTGTATATTCAGAGTTGCGACACATTGCAACCATATACATTGCATAATTTAAATATTCATTATAGTAATGAACAATTTCTCTGAATCTTCCTTTCTAAAACACCAATGGTAACCAATAACAAATGAAGCATAAACTTTGTTTCTGATGCGCTGATTGCTCTAGCGATGCGTTTCGATAACTTTTCATATGCGTTTTGGAAAAGCATACATTGTCAATATTGTGTAGTTCGGCGTTATGGAACACAATACTTTGTACGCATGCAAAGCAATTGAAGTTTTGGAAGTCAGCCACATTTAGGCAAGGTTTATGTACAGTATGTAATAAATAAACTTTCATAAATTGCACTTTATTTATATAATATTAACACCGACCTCAAAAAAGGGAAAGTTATCAATTCGTCGGAATATTTTTCCTTTTTTTACATATGCTAGCTGGGGATGTCGGGGCTTAGAAAATACCGGGATCCCGAAATCCCGGGATTAACCGATTTAAATCCCAGGATTGCTGGAAAATATTTTTTGTTAGCCAATTAAATTTTCATCACAAATATCCCCTCTCAAGGGCAAAACAAGCATTATTTCTAACATTGGTTGCGCTTTATGCGTTTGCAACACCGTTTTTTATAAAACCGCTGACTTTATATTTGGCAAAAAATGTTATGTAAACGCAACCAAATTTTTAGAGTAGAAAGAAAATATATTAGCCAAAATGACTGACACACACAGCAGTTCAGGTAAATAATTTAGCATATCCCTGCAAAAAATGGGACTAATCCGGGATGACTCTGGGAGCAATCGCAAAGGAGCATGCGACTAATACCACTTTTGATCTCTTTATATGAAATGAACTGATCGCTTTTGTTCGAGCATGTCCTATGAAGAGACTAATTGTTCACCTTTATACCCGAAAGGGTATAAAAAGCGACTAGTCACTTTTAAAAAATAAAAATAAAAATTTTCGCCAGCTGAGATTCGAACCGGGGTGCTCAGTTTTGTTAGGCGAATACTCTCTTTGTGTGCCAACGCCGCACATGAAATTTCATTGACTAAGAGCGTACATATCATTAAATCGTTAATAGTACCCGTTAGAGATGAGTTGGGGACTAATTGATCTCCAATTATACCCACAAGCGATGTACCCGTATGAGACTAGTTGGGACTAATTAATGCCCAATTGTACCCGATTGAGAGTAATCTCGGAATACTCTCTTTAGAGATTAGTCGCACAATTTTTTGCAGGGATTTGACGGAATTTGTTCTTTAATACGGTTTTTTTTCGTTTACAGCGTTTATTCCTCACAAGTAAAAATCAGAAAATGCAAAATCGGTTTGGTCACATTTTCTTGTCGCCCGGAACAAGAGTAAAGCCAAAGGAGGATCAACAAAAGGTTTGCACATTCACTTAAAAGTTCACAACATAAATATTTCCGAAACCCGTAAAAATTCCGGCGATGAATTATCGGAGCTTCCGCGCAAGCAGGTAAAGATGACATAATTTTTTAAAAGCAGCTTGGACAAAAGTCTTTTTGCAGTTTTGTCGCAAATGATCGCCGTTGACGGCATAACATTTTCTGCCTTTGTAAAGTAGGCGGATGTGCGAGCAATGATGAGTACTTGTGGGTTTGATTTGCCAAAATCACGAGACACCATAAGAAATATAGTATTGAAATATTACCAAAAAATTAAAGGCAATAGTATTGCCGAAATTGAATCACTGAAAATTAAGGGAACAAATTTTCTCTCGTATTTGACGAATGGACGTCGACATCGAATAGGCATTTACTCAACGTTAATCTGTTCGCTGAAAACAAATATTGGAATCTAGGTCTATTTCGCTACAGAACTTCGATGACTGCTGAAGTGTGCGTGGAAATATTGGCTAAACATTTAGAGGAAGTAAATCTGAATTTATCAAAGGATGTCGTCGCCATCACGACAGATGGTGAAAGTGGGGAGATTGATAGAGCCATACCAGCAATTATGCGTTGCACATGGCCTCCAGTTCTTGATATTTTATATAAAATGGAACCAAAAAAAATTAAACCCATGGTACGTGTTAAATATAATTATTCCTAAAATTTGATAATTTCAAAATTAATAGATTTTCAGAAAATGATGAGGCTGCAGATGGTGAATCAGAATTTGAAAATTTAGAGGATGAGGATGGCCTAGTAATGTGCGGTAGTGATAAACGTGCAAGGACTACAGAAAAATATAATTTTAGTTCTATTATAACGAAAGTTCGCATGTTTAGTAAAAAGAAAGTTTGCAATATTATGTTAAACTTGAGCACAAAAAAGAATTGAAGCTTATATTAGACTGTACAGACATGTTAGAAAGATTTATTTTGCTTGAATCCAGTACAAAAAATGCCATCATTGATCTTAAAATGATTCCTTGTTTGATCATGAGAATGATACAAAAATTTCAAGGTAAAACCGCTGTGAGGCAGCCTGAACATTTTTGAAGTTTTCCGCTTCAAATAAAAGAAAATTTGAATATTTTCATCTATTTGTTTTTTGTTTTACTTTTATTTGGCATTTGAGTCGCTCTGAAAATTTCAATTTTATAAAGTAGTATAGCAAATAATAAGTTATTGGTTGGAGTTTGATCACCAATTGGTTTACTTTATTAATTTCACTTTCTTTTATACCAAATTCTTACACTAACACTTACAAATTATTTACGAACTAGAATGTATACAAATATACTACTAATACCTACAAACTAACTACATAACTCTAAAATATGCTAAGTCAACATATGGTTGCAATAAATATATAAATATGTCAGTCGCATTGACAAACTGACGTTGTGGATCAGTTAGTCACTGCGACTGTCTTTGGCGGTGTCTTTGACCGTCCGCACAAGTGTAACAAGATCCTCGCTATGTGCGATGAATGCAGTCTTTGCATAAACTCCCGCTGAGTTCAATGTAACTGATTTGGGTAAACTGTTGTTTGTGTACATTCCTATTTGTTTATACATTACTTATGTGCACATGACAATTAAAGTAAAAAGGGCGATGTGCTTATGCTACAGTAGACCAACTTCAAAAAATAGATAATGGCCGACGAATTGAGCGAGCAGTTTTACCTTTAAATATTTGTATCATGGATCATGAGTATGATATTATTATTTTTCGCAAAAATCGAATGAAAATACTGCCACAAAACTTCAAAATGTATCTTGTGGTTCAATGTTACTACAACTACACAGATTAAAGTTTTATGAGTTAGAAACTCGAAAGGATAAAATAGTCAAAGATTCAAAGTACAAATTTTGCATAAAACGAAACTAGTTCATAGTTTTTATCTTTTTACTTGTAATATAAACATTTCTAAAATAAATGTATTTATTGATTGTTCTTCGTATTTTCTGTCTTTTTTTAGTACTTTATTTAGCTTTTTTTGCAATACCTAGTGCCTTTTTCGCTATTTTGTTTTGCCTTTTTGCAGTACCTAGTGCCTTTTCCTGCCGTTTTCGATATTTTATTTTGCCTTTTCCAGTCTATTTCGTTTTTTTATTTTGCCTATTTTATAGGTTTTTAGGTCCTAAAAATCCGTTCCCTGTTAATAACACTACCCTGCAGAAAATCAAACTTGTTCAGAACTTGCGCTGAGCTAGCCTGAAAAGGGACGGTATTGGTTCTTCATCTATCCCAAATCAATGCTTTCAACTGTCTTTTTAGCAGGGCGATGTCCTACGAAGTGACAATTGTCGCCCTCTGCAGAACATTTGAACTTGTTCTGAGCTGACTGAGATTAGATGGTTCTGAGACAGTTCATATAACAACAGTTCCTAGATAGTCCAAAAAGGGTCACCTCCGAGCTAGAAAAAATGTGGTTAGTTTTAAGATGGTTCTAAGAAGTATAGTATAGAACAGAGGTTCCCAAAATTTTTTTTCTCGTAGACCCCTTTCAAAAATTTACTGGTTTCGGTGGAACCCCTGCTGATACCTTTCTAAATATTCCCAAAGCTCGTAAAAAAATTAGATCTAACAATTGGGGTATTCACAACGGTGTCGCAAGTGTCGTATTGTTGTATGTCGTAAACTTTAAATACCTAAAAATGTAGTAACGCGAACCCAGTTACTACCAACTACTACTATCAAAGTCATATTATGCATTTTCGCAGTGTTAAAAAATAGGTGGTTTTGTTTTCAAGTCCTCTAAACATTTATTTCAGCTTTTAAAGTTTACGACATACAACAATACGACACTTGCGACACCGTTGTGAATCCCTCAAATGGAAATTTCCATCGCGGGTGAATTCAGAAACTAAACTCAGAGTGGCCAAAATAAAAGTAAAATATTTTCTTGTGTTCTACCTATAAAAATAATGTGACTACACACCTGTAATTTTTAAAAAATAGAGCTCGTAAATACATCAAAATACTCTCTCGCTCGGAAGAGTTTTATTTTTTAAGAGCACTGCGAGCGATAGCGTTATTTACATTATCTTCAAAAAGTTTATTTGTGTTAATGGCATCATTTTTATTTTTATCGCTCCGAGGCTTAAAGTGAGGCGAAAAATATATATCACATTTTTAAAATACAAAACAAGGCCAATTTATATAAGGTGGTATTACTAGCTCAGCTGATTTTCTGTATGTGTTTCGCCGCACGGCTTCTGATATCAAACTGAAAAATTTTGTTTGAATTTCTACAAACACTCTTACAGATTTTGACGGTTTATGCCGCCAAAGCAAAAACAAAATACATGTAAATTTTTGCTTTTGTACTCCTGCTATCTTCTTATATTAATTCGCCTTGACACAAAACTTAAAACATCAAAACGGCTAAGCTTTTTACGCCAAACTTTTAATTCAGAANCGCCTTGAGAGAAAAGTACGAGTTTAAAAAAATCGATGACAAATAACCAAGCAAGCAAGAGGCACAAAAAGTGTTCCACCATCCCATCTTCTTCAAGGCAAGATGGGCAAATGGACTTTTCATTTACGCCTATCACAGTCAGGTGTTTGTGTCAAGTGAAGTGACCAGTCAGAAGTCCAGCAAGTTGTCTGCAGTGTCGTCTGCTTAGTGAGAGCAAAAAATTNCCCTCAAATGGAAATTTCCATCGCGGGTGAATTCAGAAACTAAACTCAGAGTGGCCAAAATAAAAGTAAAATATTTTCTTGTGTTCTACCTATAAAAATAATGTGACTACACACCTGTAATTTTTAAAAAATAGAGCTCGTAAATACATCAAAATACTCTCTCGCTCGGAAGAGTTTTATTTTTTAAGAGCACTGCGAGCGATAGCGTTATTTACATTATCTTCAAAAAGTTTATTTGTGTTAATGGCATCATTTTTATTTTTATCGCTCCGAGGCTTAAAGTGAGGCGAAAAATATATATCACATTTTTAAAATACAAAACAAGGCCAATTTATATAAGGTGGTATTACTAGCTCAGCTGATTTTCTGTATGTGTTTCGCCGCACGGCTTCTGATATCAAACTGAAAAATTTTGTTTGAATTTCTACAAACACTCTTACAGATTTTGACGGTTTATGCCGCCAAAGCAAAAACAAAATACATGTAAATTTTTGCTTTTGTACTCCTGCTATCTTCTTATATTAATTCGCCTTGACACAAAACTTAAAACATCAAAACGGCTAAGCTTTTTACGCCAAACTTTTAATTCAGAACCTGACAATAGAGAAATCAAGGCGAATTTATATAAGGTGGTGTTACTAGCTCAGCTGATTTTGTGTATGTGTTTCGCCGCACGGCTTCTGATATCAAATTGAAAAATTTTGTTTGAATTTCTACACACACTCTTACAGATTTTGACAGTTTATGCCGCCAAAGCAAAAACAAAATACATGTAAATTTTTGTTTTTGTACTCCTGCTATCACTTTATATTAATTCGCCTTGAGAGAAAAGTACGAGTTTAAAAAAATCGATGACAAATAACCAAGCAAGCAAGAGGCACAAAAAGTGTTCCACCATCCCATCTTCTTCAAGGCAAGATGGGCAAATGGACTTTTCATTTACGCCTATCACAGTCAGGTGTTTGTGTCAAGTGAAGTGACCAGTCAGAAGTCCAGCAAGTTGTCTGCAGTGTCGTCTGCTTAGTGAGAGCAAAAAATTAAATAGACCTTGTGAGATTGAAGGCAGCATGAGTTTTGCCCACCTGCATCCCCTCGATGCCTCTCAGTCATTTCTGAGCAAAGTATTCACCCAGTTTCTGCTGGTGGCTTCGATTGCCGAAGGTGGGAGTGCTAAAACTGGTTGCGGACCGAGGAATGTCTGGTCTGAGCCAACTCTGGCCAAATGATCAGATGTCTCATAACCAGATACTCCAGAGTGACCGGGCACCGAGAGTAAAACAACCTCGTTATGTTCACCATCATATTTTAGTCGAGACTTGCATTACCGAACTAGTTTGGAAGAACTTAAATAGAGGGATGGTCAATGCCTTAAGTGCAGCTTGGTTGTCACTGCAGTCACGTANAATACATGTAAATTTTTTTTTGTACTCCTGCTATCTTCTTATATTAATTCGCCTTGACACAAAACTTAAAACATCAAAACGGCTAAGCTTTTTACGCCAAACTTTTAATTCAGAAACTGGCAATAGAGAAAACAAGGCGAATTTATATAAGGTGGTGTTACTAGCTCAACTGATTTTGTGTATGTGTTTCGCCGCATGGCTTCTGATATCAAATTGAAAAATTTTGTTTGAATTTCTACACACACTCTTACAGATTTTGACAGTTTATGCCGCCAAAGCAAAAACAAAATACATGTAAATTTTTGTTTTTGTACTCCTGCTATCACTTTATATTAATTCGCCTTGAGAGAAAAGTACGAGTTTAAAAAAATCGATGACAAATAACCAAGCAAGCAAGAGGCACAAAAAGTGTTCCACCATCCCATCTTCTTCAAGGCAAGATGGGCAAATGGACTTTTCATTTACGCCTATCACAGTCAGGTGTTTGTGTCAAGTGAAGTGACCAGTCAGAAGTCCAGCAAGTTGTCTGCAGTGTCGTCTGCTTAGTGAGAGCAAAAAATTAAATAGACCTTGTGAGATTGAAGGCAGCATGAGTTTTGCCCACCTGCATCCCCTCGATGCCTCTCAGTCATTTCTGAGCAAAGTATTCACCCAGTTTCTGCTGGTGGCTTCGATTGCCGAAGGTGGGAGTGCTAAAACTGGTTGCGGACCGAGGAATGTCTGGTCTGAGCCAACTCTGGCCAAATGATCAGATGTCTCATAACCAGATACTCCAGAGTGACCGGGCACCGAGAGTAAAACAACCTCGTTATGTTCACCATCATATTTTAGTCGAGACTTGCATTACCGAACTAGTTTGGAAGAACTTAAATAGAGGGATGGTCAATGCCTTAAGTGCAGCTTGGTTGTCACTGCAGTCACGTAAACTCCTTCCCCTCCACCTATGTTCCACCAAGTAGTCCATGGCTTTGAGTATTGCAATTACCTCAGCCTGGAAGACCGAAGCATATTCCCCTACAGAAAAGTGAAGCTTATCTCCATTAACCTCGAAAAAGACCCCAGATCATGACCCAGAGTTAGTTTTGGAGCCATCAGTGAAGATTGGACAATGTGAGAGTTCGGTCTCAGCGATGGAATTAAACCAGCATTCAGTCTCAGGGAGCTCAACATTATAGAATCTATTCAAAAAAGGTAATGGTGGCGTACTATCCTGTAGCATTGAAAAGACATAAGTGCTTAAATCTCTGAAGCGAGCAATTTTCGCCGCGCCCCACTCATTGTCATACCAGAATCCAGTTCTTTTTAGTCTACAGGTGGCCTTTAAGGCTTCCCCACGTATGAAAACACAAAGTGACGGTAAGTGCAGCAGTGCGTCAAGAGCACTATACACCACTCAAAAAAATTAAAGTTAAATAAAGAGGCTATCAAGCAACCATTTTGGTTCTTTACGTCGAAAGCAGATAAATTTTCGTGGACCCCCATTTACAACTTATGGACCCCCACATTTTTTTCACGTCACCGTGGACCCCCGTCGTCTTCCGTTGACCCCTGGGGGTCCACCTGGACCACTTTGGGTATCGCTGGTATAGAGCCTTTTCTTTAAAGAAGCACGCTTACAAGTTTGTAAATTTCATTTTATGTTTAAATAGCTATGTTTTTTGCACTAATTTACTTTTTGAGGCAAATTGTGCTTTAAAATTAGGAACATAAAGTATCAGTTATTCCTATATTTTCTAAAACCGTTATTCTTAAAAATTATTTATATTTGTTACGTATAACGTGTATTTCCGTGTTAATTATAATTGAAAATCTAAACTAAGTCGTGTGAAAAATGAGAAAAACGATGATATATTGAATGCTTTTTAGTGATAACTCAGCGTTAAATTGTATTAAATGTATTGAAAGGTAATACACAGACTCCCGGCATCGAATTAAGAATATACAGAATTTTAAATATTCACAAGGGTTTTCATGGTAAATATTTTTATTTAAGAATGACTCATAAGTATTATAACATAAACATATAAATTCACGTTTCACTGTTGGAAATTTTGTAGAATTCTAGAAACTGTTATAAAAACTTCAATATTTGAAATCAGAGTTTAGTTATAAGTATGCAGTTCTATAGCCCATTAAACTTTAGTATAATTAATCGCGCTGATTTTTTATAACTCTTTTTACGCAAGCTCTTGAAGGTATCCTCCTATTTAAATATTTTCGTTTAAGATGCAAGATTACACTTTATTACAATAAAATTTGATGGGCTACAAAACAGAATACTCAAAATATTTATAAAAAATCTCTCATTAAAAAGTTTGAAATTTGAAGACAGTTTTTAGAGTTCTATCAAGTTTGCAGCACAGTTAGGAATTTGAGTTTAAATGGTTTATGGAATATGATACATAGTACTTAAATAAAAACTTAACGAAAAATATTTAAAATGAAAAACCTTGGAAATTAAAAAAGAAAATTACTGCATAACTACACATTTCGGGTGCTCAGTGATATATTTAGGTTGAATGTCTAAATGATGGCTGGCGACCAACTTTGTTGAAAGCGATTAGTGGAAAGGCCGTTCAGCCAAAAGTAGAATGCAAAGTTGAACAATGCAATCTCCTTTATATGGTTAATATTTTGATATCTATTCTAATTATATAAAGAGAAGTCCCTTTTTTGTAACAGGTAATCTCGCGAACGGCTGGTCCGATTTGCATGAAATTTTGCATATAAATAGCTTTCAGCAACCACCATGTTTTAGGCAAAAAATTTACCTTTTTCCGGGAGGTGGACCAGGGACCGATCTATTCGAAAAAATCTTATTATGCTCCGATTTTCTTAAAACTTGGTATGTAGGTAACTTTTTACCTAGGTTAGCATATAGGATCCTTGTTTTCCGAGAAGTGGACCAGGGAACGATCTATTCGAAAAAATCGTATTTATGGTCAGATTTGCTTAAAATTTGGTATGTAGGTAGCTTTTTGCCTAGATTAGAATATAGGATCATTTTTTCCGCGAAGTGGACCAGAAACCGATCTATTCGAAAAATCGTGTCAATGGTCCGATTTGATTAACATTTTGTACGTAGGTAGCTTTTTGCCTGGATAAGCTTATAGGATCCTGTTTTCTAACTTTCATGCAATTTCGAATATAGCTTTGAGCAACCACCATATCAAGGGGCAAATTCGTCAAGAGGCAAGTTTTTTGCGACAATCAGAAACAACGGATACAGGCAAAATATAATAATAATAGATGCTTTCCATTTCCAGACAACCGGTCAGGTACGAGCATGATTTTTAATTTCGACCAAACTCAAATACATTGTCTGTTGGTCCAAATAATGAGACACGTATTTTTTCCTTTGGCTCGGAAAATTTTTTCGGCCGAATTAAACGCGATTTTGTTTTTCAGGCAAAAATCGATTATTCGAATTGACAGTGGAATTTTTTTTTAAAATGCCCATAACTTTGTCAAAATTTAATAGATTCCAACAATGTTTTTACTCAAATGTCAGTAATTCTTGTCACTTCAAGATAGAATGATATAATTATTGATTTGCATTACTTCAAATTTTTTATTTAACAATAAACAAAAAGTGCAAATTTTTGTTTAATTTAATTTCTCAAAAAGTGTATTTTTTTCTCTCAAACTTTTTTACCGGGAAAGAGACAGAGATGATTTTTTATAGAAAATTACGTTTTTGTGGCACATACTAAAATATTCTTATATTGTTTAACTAAATGGAACATATGTATGTAATATATCAGCAAAAAGTACAGCCGTGATCATTTTTTATGTATCAAATAGATATTAGAACACACTTTCCACCGTACAGTTTCGAAATACAAAATCACATTTTACCGCTTTTTATAATCGAAACTGTATGGTGTACCACCTCCAATACAAACCAAATTTTTCATACTGCATATCTCTCGAAGTGTTAACGGTAGAATACTGGAACTTGGTATGGCTATATATGAAATCAATTGCATACTCTTGAAAAAAATTTCGGACTATTGTAAAAGGGGGCGTTGAATGCAAATGTTGAACGCAAAATAGCCTCATGTAAATTCCCTATAACATTGATGACAACGCAACTAGCAACATATGAGTTTCAACTAGGGATGTTGCGAATGTGGAATTTTAGACATCCGCGGATGCGAATGCGGATGCGGATATTTAAAAGCTAACACCAGCGGATGCGGATGCGAATGCGGATATCATGTATTTTTAAGAAATAATTTAGGTGGGCAATTAGGTGATTTATGTAAATAAAAAATGGAAAGGTTAATGATTTTTAATAATCTGCCATATCCTGAGTTTTGCCCGAATAAAAATTCACCCGAAAGTTTGTATTCCGCCCATAGTAAATATGTACATGAAAACTAAAAGTGAAAAGTGAATCGGTTCGGGGAAAATTAAACTCATGATAAGACTGAATGTTTTTTTAGTACTTGAATTTAAAAATTGTAACATTCTACTTAATAAAAACTTTTGAAGGGTCGTAAATCAAACCTGTGCCATTATATAACTACTCGCTCGATGCGACAAACTTGAAACTTGGCAAAATTCTTTTCGATTGACACTGCACCAGTTGAGAGGACTTTCAGTTATATTTATTTATTTTTATTGCGGTGCAATAATTACTTTTTGAGAATTTCATCGAGGCTGCAAATGTCGGATGTATACTCCTGACTTTCATCCTCACAATCTAGCATCATGACACAATCGTTGTTTAAACGCCGCTTTTTTCGAAAGAATTCTTCATTCTTATTCTTTTGGTTGTTTCGGAACTTGTCACGTCATCAGCGGTTTTCGATTTTAGTTTTTGTAACTCATTTTTAATGATTTCTTCTGTGACTGGTTAGATATACGTCTGTGCAGTTGACAATATTCCAGGGACCGAAAATAACAGTTAGTTTTTTTTTAGTTAAATTTGGCCTAATATTTTTTATTCCGAAATAAACGTCCTATCCGGATAATAAAGAAACCGCCTATCCAAATTAAACAAATTTGGTATCATATGAAAAAGGACTGAAATAGCTTTTAAACAGAAATAACGAATGAAGGTNCTATCCAAATTAAACAAATTTGGTATAATATGAAAAAGGACTGAAATAGCTTTTAAACAGAAATAACGAATGAAGGTTACCACCTCTATTTATATTTTTTTAAAACTTAATACTAAAGAAATTCATGTAAATACATACCTGACCCAATGTTTGTTCTATGGTAATTAATTAACATTTTTTATTTTCAATGTGTGGCTTTCTCTTTTACACATTTCAGTTTTAAAGCTATTTAAGTTTGAAGAGTATGACTTGCCGTTCCTTAAATGAAATGTCATAGGATTGGCCCGTCACACCAATTCCTTAATTTTTGTAGTGACCGCGACTACGCCTCTTGATGGACCTGCCCGATAATCCGGACGAGAGTCGCAAACAGAGAGGGAGTTAAAGGTATACGTGAACGAATGAAAACGCGTTAGCTAATGTGTATACTAAAATTGTCTTTATTGAAGTTAGTTGTCCGAAGCAATATTGGACGAACCAACTCAATCGACGCTAAGACGAGAAGTCGTGTTTTACAATGCTAGCACGAGTATATATAGGCGATCATGACGATGCTGATCGTCAGTGATGCATTTTAGAGCTTTCTTACAAACTAAACAGAGTTGCATTTTACATGACATTACAAAGAGTTTAGACGTAAAACATTGAACAGTATGCTATTAAATGAAATAAAATACAAGCAATGAATATACATATGAATGACGGTCGTTACAGTCTCCCCCTAGGATTCTGAAATCGACCCGATGAAGTATCCTAAGATTTCTTCCGGGGACGTCCTCGGCGCCGTATCATGTTAATGGGACCCTCAGGAACATCGCGGGAACTGCGATATGGTGTCAGTGATGACGCATGGTATGCGCCCAATGGATATTGGAGGTTGTCCTCATGAGCAATCACGTAGGAAGTCGCACCTTCTTTGCCAATAATGATATAGGGCCCATCTCGTCGTGGAATAAATTTCGATGTTACACCCTTGGCAGCATTACTCAAAACATGCGTGGTCACAAGGACCTTGGAACCAATCTCTAGTCCCTCTTGGTCACGTCGTTGTGGATTGGTGATGCCTTTATTAGCATCTTGCTGTTTGCATTCGCATTCTCTCGCAGCTTGGAACACCTCCGCGAGAGTGCTTAGATACGGTGTGATTTCTGCAATGAAGTTCTCTGAATGGATGATAGCTCTCAAATCATGCTGGACGTCGTCGATCGTTCTTAACTCACGCCCAAATGTGAGGTATGCGGCAGTATACCCGGTACTTTGACAGCGTGTCGTATTCATGGCGAAGCGTATTGCCGGCAACTTCTCTGCCCAGTTGCGGTGTTGTCTGCCCACCAAAATTGACAACTGCGTCTTCAGGTCGCGATTCTTCCTCTCTACTCGGCAATATTTTTTCAAAATCTGCAATATTTTTTTCTAGCCATGGAAAATGAAATATTCTTTTTTTGATATCATGAATAAAAAGACGTAGTTTAGCTTCAAAGCTTTAGATAATTTGCGAAAAATCAAAAACATTTTTATTTTCTCCTTGTAGAGACAAATTCAAGTTTTGCAAATATTCATTATCCATTTGCGGGTAATGTTCGATCTCATGTGTACATAAAAAGCATAAAATAAAAAAACAACACTATGGAAAAGAATATCCAGCAAAGAAATATGTATTTTAAAAAGTAAAAAGAACCAAAGTGTTCTAAGCAAAGATAAAGTAAAAAGTGCCGCACTTTGCTAAGCAAAGAGCCGCATTTGGCTCAAAGAGCCGCATTTGCCCACCATTGACTTAAGGGCTGACTATAATATGCATAAGCAAGCGTATGCAAACGTGCGAATACACATAAATCCTATTCTGAAACTATAATGTACTTAACATCAAGTTTTGTCAAACGTCATTTGCTTTAGGAAAGAGCGATACTGGTCCACGGTTGCCGTTTTGGTCCAAATGGACCAAATTTCTTTGCATTTGGTCCATTGGTCCAATTCTTTTTAAAATGGTCCATTTCACAAGCCTTTAGTTAGATTATTATCACCCTTTCACTTCATGCAATAGTTCCGCGTTTTTAATTTTTCTCTTTAATTGATGAATATGTTGAATATCGTAATCGTCAGTATTTAAAAGTGACCATACGGTCATCGTCAGCCTAGGGATGCAAATTTTGGGGTGTAACATCGATACATCGATGTTTCGGTGCATCGGAAAAATTAATATCGATGCTAAAATACATCGCCAGAAAAACATCGATATATCGATATATTAAAAGGAAAATTTAATACTTTTCAATTCAAACTATCTGTAATTCAATTAGAAATATACTTACATATGGATGTATTTCCCTGTAATTATTTACCACTCCTTTACCCTTCCTATAAATAGAATAGAAATGCATGCCGTCACACAGTGTTTCGACTATATGGAGGCAGGTGGAAATAATAGTAAACCTGCAGCAATTTCACTGAAACTTGACATGTGCTCTAGGTTTACTTAGAAATAGGGAATTATGAAATTTGGTAAAGATGGAATGATTGCCACGCCTTCTACTCTTGTGGGCGGAAACATTAAATTTCATCCTATTTCGATGAAATTTAGTTTGTGCTCACTTTTTTATTAGAAAAACCTTAATAGGAAATATGGGGAAGATGGGATCACTATAACGTCCAAAAATCACAAAAAATGTGGGCCCAGTCGTTAAATGTGATGGAATTTTGGTAAATTTTTGTTTCCTGCTTTTCAATCTCAGAAAACAAAGGTTATACTATAAATTGACTTGTGTAGGTGTAAATACTTGCTTTTTTCCAATGTTTGGTAAGATTTTTTCATTGTTCGAAAAATTCTTTTCGCGAAATTATGCAAAAAGAGGCTGAAAATTAAAAATTACATATATTTGCAAAGTCGCGCACAAAGATCAAATTATATATTCTAAAATTACATTATATTCTCTAAAACATTTGTCTAATTTCAAGACCTGACGGACCGGTACTCACACTTTTTTTACTAATAATCTTTAGCATCTACATTTCAAAGCAAATTTTTTAGTAAGAAAATAGGAAAGTACCAAATAAATGATAAATACCTTCACCTAAATATTCCACGATATTTAAATAATGGATTATGGTTGAAAAAGAAACATTTTCTTTAACGGGTTAATCGCCAAAGGCAACTTAACTGATTACTCGGTATCGCGCCGATTCCCGTATTTCTTTGGAAATGTTTCGTTCGTGAAGAAGGGGAGTGAGTAAATAATGTGAAATGTGGTATTTGTGACTTTTACTTTTCCCTCTCTAAGTCCAGCTGGTGTTTTTTATCAACTGTCACCATGACTTTTTTCTATCTGCCTCCATATAGTCGAAACACTGTGAGTCGTAAGTTCGATGAGCCTAAAGTTCCAGGGCCCAATTTCGGTGAAATTTCAACGGGATCCCGGTCCTTGTTTAATGAGTAAGTAAGCATTTTTAGTATCGAAAGATAAGAGTAAACTCGGAATTTCTGAATGTTCCTCAAAAGAATAAGTAATAAAATGCATGGCCAATCAAAAAATTTTGGGAGCATAAGTCGATGTTAAAACATCGCTGAAACTGGCATCGATGTATAGTGAATTTAGCGATTTTAGGAAATTGTAAACATCGATGGCAAACATCGAATTTTGAACCGATATTATCGATGTTTCAAACGTACGTTACTGATGCGTTGATGATCGTCGACGATGACGATGACGATATTCAGCATAGGCCCGATTGGCAACACCTGCTAAAAGTGTGAACTCTCTTTGCCATCGTTCTTCAAATATGGCGTGGCTAATCATCTGTCAAATATCGCGGTTTCTGGCTAATTTCAATTACTCGGTGACCAATATTAAAGTGGCTGGGAAAAATCTGGAAAGGTAGCAAAACTTTAATCATAGCATTTAGCACATGTAAATGATATTCGATTTCAATCGAAAGGATATTACACCACATGAAGTTCTTTCTGATACTGATGTATCAATTTTGCTGCTACTCAAGCAATTCCCTGCATTGGTAAATGATGCAACCATAATTGAATTTCAATTTCGCAAATTGAGGCTGAGTGAAGGTAACTTCAAAAACTGTACCAATATAGAATGTTTTTGGGATCAAGTAAGTTTGATTAAAAATGGCTTGGGTAAAGCGGCCTTTGGAGAATTGTGTGATTTAGTTCATAACATTTTTAGTCTGCCTCATAGTTTCGCAGCAGCTGAGCGCAAATTTTTTGATTTAGCATTAATAAAGACGAAATTAAGAAACATATTATAATTTAAAACTTTAAATAATATAATGTTAATAATATACAATTGTAATTCACTTTGGATGCAAAATAAAAAAATCGTTATAAAAACTGAATTAGCATATAGAAATTGGTCCATCTTTTACCATTTGGTCCATTTTTTGGTCCGAAAAATAAATTGGAAATGGCAACCGTGTACTGGTCGCACCTTCCGTACGGAATCAGCTGTTTGTACTCGTATGTATGTATGTACATATGTAACACATGCAGTGTTGCCGCTTTGGTAATTTTTTACCGAAATTGGTAATTTTTTTCTTTGTTTATCATATTTGGTTTTGGTAACTTATTTTTCCACTTGGTAACTTTTTCGATTCAATCCTACATGTAACATAGGTCAAAACAAGTTCTTGTTCCACTTTAGGAAGTGGGCCGTAAGCGTTTCCTTTTACAGAAATACCAGGTAATCCTGAAAGTTTCTTAAGGCGAACAGTTTTTCGGCGGTCCTAGGTTACTATAATTGTGTGATCTACAACAGAGGGTTGTGGATGGTCCTACCTTTCCTTGACAGTTCGTTAGCTTTGCAATGGCTATCAATATTCCGGCGTAACCCGGCAACCAAATGAGTAGATTTCTATGTAAATATGTATGTATGTTCAAAAGGCTACGGCATTCAGTAGGGGACTTCCCTTTGTCTATGTCTGAGTCGAAAGCTTTCAGGATTGCTTTCAAGCATTGAATTTTTCGGCCACTTTTTGACATAAATATGTATGTGTGTATTTGGTCATAACAAAGAAAGTAAATAACAGGAAGGGACAACTCGTTATAATTGGAGCGGAAGTGAGTAACAGGGGCGTGCTTTCTCTTTTGCTCTAGTACATTTTTTAATTGGATGAAAAGAGAAGGCAAGCCCCAGTTACTCACTTTCGCGTTGTCCCTTCTTGTTATCTATGTGCTTTGGTCATAACTGAAGAAATGTGGATTTTAAAGTGCTCCGAAATTTTAGTTTAGTTTAAAATAATTTTGTTAATTTTTTGTTGAATTTGGTAACTTTTTCTGGCGATTTTGGGTGAAAAATAAAAAAATTTGGAAACACTGAACACATGTAAGTAAAATATAGCCACCTAAAAGTCTACACTACGTTGCTTATGCATTTGACAGACTTTTCGTTCATTTTCTGACAGTCAGTTACTGCAGCTTATTCATATTATAGTCAGCCCTTTATACATACATATCATGATACAATAATTTTTAGAAGGTAGTTTCACTTCAAAATTTTTGACATAAACCGTGTCTGTGACAAACACGCAATGTGGCCAGTGCTACGATATAGAACTTGGGGATTATCGCTTGTTATTTTAGATATTTTTTAACAGAACGTGTAAATATTCATGATGCAATAATGAAAGGTGTTGTACGTTGTGACAGCTCGAAATCGAACTACCTTAGGTCAATATTGTATTTTGGAAGTACAAGAAAAACGGGAAGAAAAAAGGCCTTTTAGTTGAAAAAGTACTAAATTTTATGCCTTCTCAACAGCGTTTCGATTATCTGAATAGGTATATATATGGCTTGGTAGTCTCATAAAGTTGTAGATAATTAAAATAATAAAATTAGGCGTTTTTTTATTCACAGGAATATGATAATATGCTTAAAATTTTTGGGCTGATGAATACCCAGCTAGAACAGTAAGGCATATATAATTCCTTATATAAGCCGTATCACTAAGAAAATTATCCCTTATGAATTTGAAATGTTTCCCTTATATTGTACAGGCCAAATAGAGGAATTCATTTACGGGCAGAAATGGGCTTCTTGTGCGCATATATCAGGTTTGATAGATGTTGACCATACTAATAATGCCTCATACTCAGTTTTACTAGATCAATTCGTGTTCTCGAGAAAAAAAAATTTCACGGTTCAAAAATCTGAGTATAGCGGTCAAATTCTTTTCTCAAAATTTTGAAAATTCTTCGTTTTTTGGCCTGTATTTGCTTTGTATGGTATTTGCCACAAAATATAGGCCAAAAACGATAAATGTTCAAAATTTGGAGAAAAAAGATTTTTCAGATTTTTGGATCGTGAAATTTTTTTTTCTCGGAGAACAGGAATTGATCTGAGTATGAGGCATTATTGGTATGGCCAACAGCTATCAAACTTGATATATTCGCACTAAGGTTTTTTTGTGTTCCACAGTGTTATATAAGGGATACTTTGAGGAATCATATAAACAATTATACATTACCCAAGTTCACGTACATCCAAGTTCGAGTCATACAGCAAGCTTTTTAATGTTTTATTTATTTGTTTTTGAAATTAACAATATATTTCAGAATTTATAATTAATACGTTGTGTTCATTTTAGTAAATCCACTTTGATTTTTAATTGTACAAAATTTATTATATACATACAGTATCGGTCATATCAATAGCAACCCCATTTCAAAGTGATATTATTTCCCTCTCATGTTAATTTATTTCTAAGAATTTGCAATAAAAATAAAGCTTAATTTCTAACAAACCCCATATAAACCCAATTTTAAAACTTTGTAAAAAAACTACAAAAAATACAACAAATTTTCACCCAAAATTCACACTTTTTTCTCAGAAGTGTTAGAATTTTTTTGAGCACTCAGTTTTATAGGCCCTTCAATTTTAGTCTTATTATATGCAAGTTTGAAGTGGCTAAAAATTACCGTTGATTTTTTAGAATCGATATAAAAACAAATCGTGTTTAATCGTCTTCCATATACCGAAAAATGCGACTATATATCGATGGCTGAGTTGAATATGGACCTATCTCGGCAGTCAGGTCGAAAACACTCGATATCAGAAAACTTTACAACGCCCTATTTTAGAATTTGATTGAAAAGTGCCCTATCTCAGAACTCGGTTCAAAAACACCCTATCTCAGCTGGCGATCCAAAGACGCCCTATCTCAGCACATTTTCAAAGTATTTCCATTTGAGATAGGACTTTTTCGACCCGAATAATAATAATAACATACTATATACATATCTATCTAGTTTCAACATAAAAAAAAATTATGTACACATCATTAATTGTCTATACTTATCTAAGTCAATATATGTGATATATATGTACATACATCTACATATCGTCGTTTAAAGTACAAAACCGTGTATCAAGATAATGCAAACCCACGTATGCGAGGTTGCATAAATTATTTTCTAGAGAGTAAAAACACTCATATTTCAAAATGGTTATCTTTTTTTAAAAAGCAATCGCATTTTTGGCTAGTATATTTCAGGAAGAATGGATAAGGATTGAGCCCAGAACTTGTGTGAGCAAATCCAATTTTTAGCAGCAAATGTCAGTTACGCGGTTTCGTACTTTAAACGACGATGTGTATATTAACAGGAACGCAGCAATCTAATACACGGGTGAAGCAGGAACGCAGCACAGCAGAAGCATACAAACAATCTGCAAATAAATGGCTTTTTAGGTTTTTAACACACAAAAACCTGGTTTCAACTTACTTAAACGTATCTAAAGCACAACGCACACACTAATGCAAAGGCGCAACAGGGACACGGGCGGAGCAATACACAGGCGGAGCAGGAACGCAGCACAGCAGAAACGTCCACAAAATCTGCGAATAAATGGTTCATTAGGTTTTGAAATAACTAAGAGCTGGTTCCAACTTACTTCAAAATATCTGCAGGGTGATGCACACAATCAAATTCGGCCGCAGCTGCAGTTCACCAGAGAATGCTGCAAATGGAATGGTTCATCAATGAAGTCAAAATAATATGTTGNGAAGAAAATTATTACAAAATATTCGAAAATTTCTCTACTTATATGTTTGGCTTTTCTTTGTTTTATTTTTCCAACGTCAAAAGCTGGATTTTTTTTTTGAAAAAGTTGGTACAACAAAAAATACGAAACACGTTTTCTGTCAGATAGCTAACATGGCGGATAAGAAGAAGAAGTGAAACTACCTTCTAAAAATTATTGTATCATGCATACATCTATTGCAATTTCCTATCCCTCTCAGTTCGCACCACGACTCGACTGTTATTGTTAAAGTTTGACAACAAATTTTGAAAAATTATGCCATTAAAAGCACAGGCAGCTGAAACAAATGTTCTTTTTTTTAATAGGAAAGGAAACGATCAGCTTTCTATCCCCAGTATGATCAATTTGTGATTGCCCTGCATTTTGTTTTTACATTTTCAATAATTCAATTTGCAAGCGTAAGGGTGAGTAATTTTCGAGTATTTTTTTAATCGTCGAAACGATTAATCAGTTTTTAATTATCAATGGTGATGGAAGAAGACTCAGCAAGGTGATTTTCTATATCTTCCAAATGCTAGGAGGGAACGTTTGTTTTTTTGACAATAGAATATTCAGCATTTACACATAGTTTTTACTCTACGAAGTGTACTAAACGATCGCTCCCCAGTCGCTGTTGTGTATGGAAAAGCGCTCAAAATGGAAATACACTTATTTAACTCAGGAATACGTTTTATTTAGTGATGTGCTGAATTGCCGGTACCGAAATACTTCAAAAATGTTTCGGTACCCAATACTTCCTTTTCGGTACCCAAAACCGATTCTTAACATTAAACCTTCGCCGCTTTATATATTTAAAGTTTATAAAAACATTACTTTAACGGTAGAATATTATTTTATCTGTTTCCATCCTAAATAGTAGATCCAAGGTTCAAGAACAATGCTTTGATGGATGAAGAAGCCTTTCAAACATACAAAAATAATATCGTCCGATTCAGCTAGAACAAAAATGCTTCAGACAAGTAAGTTATGGCGACGGACCAACATACGTATATATATACATTTTTAATTTGAATCAATATTAAAAAATCTCTTAACCCCTACATTCGGCTTTTGATAAGCCTACAGTTTTTAGCCGGCTCCGAACGGCGATTGTTTTCTTATGAGAAGCAGTTTTTCATAGTAGAAATACACTCGGAGGTTTGCCATTGTGACCGCTGTTAAGAAAAAAAAAAAAACACTTTTCTATATTTTTTTTGAGATATTGCTTTGACCAGGGCATGAACCCAGGCCCTGCGAAGTGGTAGCGTGCAGGCCTAACCACCACACCACAGCGGTCGCCTTTATTACATATCTAAATATTTCGATACCGAGTATCGAAATTATTGGATACTTTTTAAATCGGTACCGAGTATCGATCAATAACTAAAAGTACCGACTCGACACATCACTAGTTTTATTCTTTAGATAGATTAGAGTTGTTTAAATAGATTAGAGTACACTTCTATTTTTGATAGAAAAAAGCAGTACAAACATAAAAAAGGAGCACAACTTTTTTATGTCCAATTTATTGTTACAAATTACCAAAAAGTAAATATATGTGTAATCACATATATGAGATCATTTTCATTACTTAGGTACAAACAAACAATGATATCTTAGATATATTTTTCAAAGCAACAATAAATGTTAAAATAAATAACACAAAAGAATTCCAGACTCTGCAATTTTTTAATTGAAGCCCTATAATTAATTTAACATTTTTCTGATTTTTATACCCGAGCGCCCTGCACCTACCTGGCTACGACGATGCTTACCTTTTTACTATCACACTTAACATTGCTTATTAAGTAGTGTTGCCACAATATGAATGGCAAAGTACAGGGCGTAAAATAACAACTGTCGCACAGGTTTTTTGAAAAATAAAAGGGTCCCTTATAGATTTTTCGAGAAAAGTATTTTACTGTTAACTTTGTAAATATTTTACTTTAATTTTGTTAACGCCATATTTTTCTTGGAGTTATGTCACTTCTTATAATGTGTCATAACCCTAATTGGGAAAATGTCACTTTTGAGTCTAAATCATATTTTCCAGCTCTCAAGAAAAGCAAAAAAAGCATATGAAACACGCTCAAGAAATGAAAAAGAAATTTTATATTAAACTTTCTTCTGCGCAAAAATACTTCCGCCACTCTTTTCTGGCAACACCGAAAGTAGAATTCTACTTAGTAAGGGTCATAAAAATACTTCCGCCGCTCTTTACCGGCAAACCTGAAAGGAGAATTCTACTAAGTAAGGGTTATAATCCCTAAGCGCGGCCGAAGGGCTATAGGCGTTGACAAGAAAATAACGTAGGCAACGCCAGCTTTTATGCCAGTGGTTTGGTAAAAATTTTATCATTACTCTGGCACATTCCAAATTCTTTTGGTTTGCAAAATTACATGAGGGATTAGGATTTTTTCGCCTTTTCGTTTGGAAATATATCACTCCTTATATAATTACATAACCCCAAATAAAAAAATTGGGTTTATGTCACTACAAAAGGAGTGACACAATCCTAAATTTTAAAGTTGGAGTTATGCCACTTGGGGCTATGTCACGGCACCGATTGCTGTGTACGAGGCCTTATGTTGGGCAAAAGGGGGAGTATAAAAGACTCAAATGGAGGAGATTAGCCTATGCTTACAGAAGATATGTAATAAAGTAACCGACAAGTGTTCACCTGGTAAACCCAAATAAAGGTTAAATGTTAAAAACTGTTTAAAAAAATTTAAGTAAAATCTGTGGAAAATTAACAATTAACTACTTTTTCACAACATCTATAAAGAGCCTTTTATTTAGAAAAAAACCTGTGCGACAGTTATTATTTTACACCCTGTATATGATAAAAAATGAATGAAAGAAGTACAAAACTAAAAAAGGAGTACATTTCCAGATTTACTTTTTCGGGGAGTACAAGGGAGTACATTGCAATAAAAAGGAGTACGTTTACTCCCAAAAGCAGTACGTCTGGCAACCCTAAAGAGATCTACAACTTCAACATCCTTCATATCTTCTTCGGACAAGTTCTTTTTCTCTCTCTTCCATAAATTGTACCAAAGAAAGAGTTCACTGCTATACCTAGATCATATATCTATTGAAAATGCTTGGCGTTCTTTTGCACCTTTTCACTGGATCGTTTAAGCTCTACCCAGAATTATAATAAGTTTACATATAAGTAGATTTTCAAGCTTAACACCCTAATCTGTAATTAGAAAAGAGATTAGCCATACAAAATTCGTCCCTCGTTAATCTGTAATTATAAAATAATCTCAGATTAAACCGATAACTTTTCTGTGTCCACCCCAGTTTTATCGATTATTTTTCCAAAGAAGAAGAGAAATGCCAAAGGTTAAAGTAAACAGAAATGGACGCTAGCAAGGAAAATAGGTTTGTAAAGATATTTTTAAACACATATTAAGTTAAAATATATTTAAATTGCTTATTATAGCAGAAAAAAGTTATCACGGTGGCACAGAGAAGTAACTTAACTTTTCTTTGAGATGTGAGAATAACAAGCCCAAAAAATTTGACAGCTAATAATCTGAGATTTGCTCGTGTATACGGGGTGATTAAAAAACGAGCTTTGATTGAGATAATATTTATATGTGAACATACTTTTACAGCGGACGACGGTAAAGCGATCGGCGGTAAAGGCTGATTCACATACAACTTTCTTCGCTTTGCTTGATAGTTCTTTGCTTTGACATATAAGATCAATGTGGGCATATGCATGAGTATGCTCACATAAAAAACGTTTGAAGCAAAGCAAAGCAAAACGAAGCAAAAACTTGGGCAACTCTCAACTTTTGCCCACTTTGGCAATCAGCTGTCTACATTTATCTTTTCTTGTGCGCTTGCATTTGCATTTATTGACAAAAATGGGGTAAATAGGAATTTTTATTGCTATTATTAATGCATATTATTATATTGCTATCTATTTTACAGATAAAAAATATGGAAGAAAATGAGAACGCAAGAGCTGTCAAAGCGTTTATTGTAGCATACCTTCTGCGTTTCGAGCTTTGTTGTCAAAGTTTGAACTGTCAAGCAAAGCGAGGAAAGTTGTATGTGAATGGCCCTTAAGTGAACAGTTGAACAGTTGCCGAAGAGAAATCTGTCAGAGTAAACACAATTGCGGCGCACGGCGGCTTCCGTCAGTTGTCATTTTGATTTGAAAGTTATCATTAAAATTAAATATGTGCGTGTATGTAGAAAAATGGATGAAAACAATACCAAACTTGCGAAAATAATAAAAATTACTACAATCAACGCTCAATCAACATTGCGCCTTCCTCACTGGGCAGTAAAAATAGAAACAAATTTAAATTACCCAAAAAACGTCGGCGGTAAAAACGCTGCCGCCACAATTATGAGCCATTCCACATGCCTTTGCGAGTTTTAATTTTGACAGCGGTTAACCGACGACAGCTTTACCGTCGTCAACTGCAATTCTGGGTAGAGCTTTAATCGAATACAATGAGTGCAATCTAGAGAGCGAAAAATCTGGAGTATTTTCATTGGAAAGGCGTAGTTGTAAAGAGCCCTTAGTGAATCCAGATACGGTTTTATTATAGACCGTCGCCAGTACTCATTTTCGTTGATCGATGGGGGTTACTTCTGTTTGTTTGTTTACCTGCCAAACGTGGTAGTGAAATTTCAACTCCTTGATCGGCTGTAATCTTACGAAATTTTTTAATTAACTCTGTAGTGACTCCTTCTGCATTCTTGCGATCATTCTTAATCACCTCCAAAATATTTTCAGTATGCTGATCAACGAGGATGAGGTCTAGTTATTGTCTTCATTTGCAAAATGTTTTCTGTAGGTTCCAGCAATGTTGAATATTTAGCAATTGTCATTAAAGCAATGATGAACATCGGCCTTGCTATAGCAGAACACAATTGATACGCAGAAGCTTCCACAACTCAAGTAGCACACTGGTGTATAAATTGATTGAATAAAAAAAAGAACGTTTTG